GTACTCTAGGTATCCAACTAGATTCTCATTTTACTGTTACGTTTCTCGCGGATCTAATATAAATTTTCTAGCTGTGATGATGACGAGAATGGCGATTTATTGCTTTCGTGAAATAGCCACTGCATAACCGTTCGCGGGATTATACCGGAAACAACGACGACAGCCGACAGTTTCGCTTTGTTTGTACATGACGCCTACTACCCTTCATTTCTCACCGGACCACGATTTAGCGCGAGGACGCAGCTCGCGTCCGCCGATGATCACGAGCGCCGGCGTTAATCGCACGTAAATTCGAGCGGTCCCGCCACCCGACGGAATCTGTCCCGCGGGGCTCGTGCGGACGGAAATTACAAGGTCACGTTGCGTGCAGTAACAGCGGTGGCTATTCATTAAATAAGCAGCGGTATCATACTAGTATACAGGATAGAGAACGATAATTTGTAAACGCCTGATGTTATTCAGCAGAACGATTGTAATCGGTGTCTAAGGCAGAAGTTGTGTTGTTACTACTGTGGCATACTATTGTAAAATGGATGTCGTTTTTTTAGCATGCTTTTGTGTTTCAACACCTCGCCCGGCCGCAGGCGGTGCATAATACCGGCCGATCCTGCGGGCCCGAACTTATATATCGATGGTAATCAAATGTAATCCGATCGTCACGAGATTTCTCGAATGAGCAGAGAAACTAAAAAAAAAGAAAACCAGGGGAAAAACGGAAGAAGAATCGTGAGCGTAGCTGAAAATAGGGGGAAAAAACAAAGGAAAGAGAAGAAAACCGCTAATCCGTAAAGAAAGAAAGGAACTGCGCACCACGGTTTCACTGTGTTCTCGAATATCCATTTTTTATCATGCGTTTCCGTGTCACGCCGAGAGCTCTCCCCAACGCTGTCGAACGACGCGTGCTTTCGATCACCGCGAGTTCGTTACCCTCGGAAATTGTCTTTTCGTTTTTTTAAAGTAAGATCATCGAACGTATACATGCATGCAATAACGCAGTGTTTCGATGTAACGAATTGTTCGAATCGCGCGATACCTAAGAAACTAACGATTCCAACGGAGGACAGACGTGTATTTTTATCGAGGTAAATTCTAGCACACCGCTCTGTAAAGACGCGTACGATCCTAGGACACGTTAGACATACGTACACACACGAACAACACGTTAACCGCCTGAAGCTTCTTCGACGCGCAGTTTACGGTACCAAGAACAAAGCAATTCGATTGAGTTTTACGCGATCACGACGACATACTCCATGAATTTTTTCACCGTTGACGAAAAAAACAAAGGAAGGGAAAACAGGGAGGGGGGCGCGCTCAGCGTCGCCCTTCTTTGTGAACGGAAGTGCGCAATGACTATGTGTACCGAGTTTATTTATTCAAACTACTCTATTCGGTCTAACTAAAACCTACTGTATAAGGACACGTAATTAATAATTAACTATAGTAATAATAACAATAATAATAATCTCAATACATACGAAAAGAATCGTTTCTAAACATACAAATACTGAGAACGCTAAATATCATCAGTCATGTCTAAAAATAAAAAAAGAATACTTCGTATTGTATAAATGCTTGTATGTAATAAATACTTAATATTAAATAATAAAAGATATACTATTTAATAAACCTCCTAAGCAGTGTTTTGTACTTCTTTCTATTATTCACGGACCATCATTACCCTCGGTACCTGCCTGGTAACGTTCGCGTCGCATTATTTCCGTATCGCCTTCCATTTCCCCAGAGCTCGCCACAGTTGAAGTACCATCTTTTTTATTCCTCTATCCGCAATTAAGGAACTCGTAACGTTGCATTCGGCGGAATTTATTATTCGCACGCGCGCCGCGATGAAAGTCACGCTAAGTCTCAGCACGCGCGCTTCTACGATATTTATCAAAAATTCACATCGGAATTTTCGCTGGTCGATCGGTCGGTGTTCCCGGCGTTAACTGTTCGAGCTGCGAGTCACGACGAGATACGCTCATACGTGCGAGAATATTATTTATTCTTATATTCATCGCCGACGGAACACGTATAACATCTGTTTTCATTTTAAAGCCTACGAACTGGCTGTTCCGCGGTGTAACGCGCGCCGAAAGCAACAGGGTATAAAATATGGAGCACGCCGGAGCGCCGCCCGTGGATACGGTCCGTCTCTTGGGTGCTACACTCGTAAAAAGTAATGCTACCGTCTGCGAAAATTTGCCGTTGGACCCGAGTCCTAGACGTTCGCCGAATGCTCGACGCACGCAGAGGATTCCATCTATAGGGAAA